TGGAAATGGGGTGTTTAGTGGTGCACAATCTAACACCTTTCCTGTGAGCAATAGGGAGGTCAAGGTCATTAGCAGCAGAGGTATCAATTTCAATAGAATCAGGAACATCATTGGGAGACAAGTTACCTGAGTGGATATGATCCTCCCCCGAGGAGTTTGATGGCACTGGAGGTACAACTTCTAGATTCTCCATAGCTCTTGAATTTGGTTGGCCTTTGCGACGACGGAAGAAGACACGAAAGGGAGGAGGATCAGAAAGAGGAGGGAGCTGAACCAGTTTCTCCTCATGCCTATATTCCCCCTGAGGAGAAACAAGAAAGAAAGGCCCATCCTCAAAGAAAGAAACATCCATGGAGACATAGAATTTCCGAGAAACATGATCAAAACAACGGTATCCCTTTTGAGTGAAGGAGTACCCAAGGAATATGCAAGGAATAGCACGAGAATCCAATTTCCCACGAGTGGGAGACAAATTTTGGACAAAGCACCGACAACCAAATACACAAGGAGGAATGGGAAGAAGGGGGGCCTTAGGAAAGAGAAGCTGATGTGGGGCTTTGTACTCTAACCAACGAGAGGGCATACGGTTAATGAGGTAGGTAGAGCAAAGAACAACCTCAAGCCAAAAACGTTTGGGGACATTCATATGGAGTAGTAAACCCCGAGTCACTTCAAGGAGATGTCGGTTCTTCCGTTCAGCCACACCATTTTGTTGCGGTGTTCGGGCACAAGAGCTACGGTGAAGTGAACCACGCGAAGAAAAGAACTCCGTGAGATCACTATGAAAAAACTCTTACGCATTGTCTGACTGAAAAATTTGGATTTCAGTCTGAAATTGAGTGAAGACCATCTGCTGAAAATCTTGGATAATTTTTGGTACTTCCTCCCTTGTTCGCATAGGATATACCCAAGTATATCTAGAATAATCATCAATGAGGGTAATAAAATACTTGTAACCACTCTCAGATGGTAAAGTAACAAGGCCCCATACATCAGAATGAACAATGTGAAAAGGAAATTCAGATTTACTATTTTTTTGAAGAAAATGAGTTCTACAATGTTTACTTAACTGACACGTTTGACAAGAGAAATCTGAAACGGACATTGACTTAAACAGTTCTRGRAAYACAAYTTTTAAAGACTCAAAAGACAAATGACCAAGGCGACAATGCCATAAATAAACTTGACTCTTACAGGACTGACTCATAGACTCTGTAAAATGAAGACCAGCCTTATTCTCCAGCATGTAAAGTCCATCAACCATACGTTCCCTACCAATCGTCCTCCCCGAGGCCAGATCCTGAATCACACAATGAGAAGGGAAAATGGTCACTGAGCAGTTTAAGGAATTAGTAACACTACTAACAGAGAACAAATTAATGGAAAATTTTGGAACATGTAGGACATCAGAGAGGGTAAGGCCAAGGGGAAGAGAGATGGTTCCTTGACCAGCTATGGAAGTGTATGATCCATCAGCTAGTCTCACCTTGTCTCTTCCAGAAAGAAGGTGATAGATTTGAAAGTAAGAGGACGTACCAGTCATGTGTTTTGACGCTCCANTGACGCTCCAGAATCAATGATCCATGGAGAGCCAAGGGTGTGAGAAGCAACATGGAAAGTTGTGGCAGAGTTACCTGACGTAGATGCAAATGAGGTTGAGRGAGGAGCATCCATCTGAYRAATTGCTCTACCATAGAGCTCTAAATGGTCACGGAAGGAATTCATAATATCCTCCCTTGGGTCAGATCCAGAGAGATGTGTCTGAGTCACAATATGGATGGAGGGCTGATTCTCCCGAGTAGCCATGTTGGCCATAATGTATTTCTTTGGGCCTTGCTGTCCTGACCCTTTTATTCACATCTGAACCTTGCTTCTTATTCAGATCTTGAGCCCATTTTGGTTTCCCATGAAGATACCAGCATGTATCTTTGGTGTGTCGGGGTTTCTGGCAATGAGTACATCACAATTTGTCTTTATCCTCTATTTTTTTCTGGAGATCTCCTTTCCTGGA